CTGTTATGTTAAACTTATATTAAAGTTTTTCTTCATTACCCATTCAAGCCGTCTCCGAGCATTATTAGTCTCAAAGTGGGGTTCCTCGTCATCGAAGATCAGTACTTATTCTTCCCCCATCCGTGGGTCAACAATAAGTTTACGAACTCACAACGACAAAATACATGTTCGATTTGTGCGCTGGACAGAGCGCAGATAGCCCATTGTGTAATGTTGCGCTAAAACAACATTTCAATAGTGCTGATTTTCCTGGAAAGCTTCACTTGTTTATGAAGTGACAGTGCACGTACTGTATAAATATTCGAATGACTATATGCTATTCTTTTTTTTATTTTTCACATACTTCTCTAAAAAAGTTGTCTGACGAGTTTGATGCAAAAAGAGTGCATTCATTACCTTTTTAAGCTGACATATTAAATAATAGCCAATGTTATAAAGATACTGCAGTTAGGAACTAATCTTTACCGAATTGTCATTATGACATATACAAGCTTGGTACAATAGCTCTTCATTTCTACTCCGATTAAACTTGGCACTTTTCTCATGGAAATAACACGTGAAATTTTAAATAGCAATAAAAGCAATTAAGCAGAATTTAATGCTTCTGCTCGAAACGAATAATGTGAATGTAGTGTTTATAAAACTGTATATTTATAACTAGCTGGAGTACCCGTACCTTGGACGAAAGTTATGTAAATTCATGATTAACGAAAGGTAATCTAAGGACATAAAAAGTTGATTCCCTTATATGAAATTGTAAAAAACGCCCATAAAAACAGCAAAACAGAAAATGTGAAACTTAAGTTTGCATGTATCTCCGCTTGGACCCAGCAAACCTTCTTGCCAAATTTGTTGAAGATCCATCAATAGGGGGCGAAGTAGTGGTAAGAAACGCAAAACTGAAACTTTGTATGTATCGCCCCATGGGCCCAATGACCCTCCATACCAAATTTGGTGAAGATCCATCCACAGGAGGTAGGGTAATGGTAAAAAACGCCCATAAAAATCGCCAAACGCAAAACTGAAAATTTGTTTATACCCCCGCATGGAGCTAATAAACCTCCATGCCATCCATCCACATCCTGCTCAGTAGTTACATGTACATACAACACACAGTACTATTATATTTATACAGATAAGTTAACATACAGAAAAGCGTTATATAAATGTATTGTTACGTCTCTGTTCGTTAGTTAATTTTCCGTAAATTCTTTCCGACTAAACTTTAGCGACACAAGTCCTTTCTTAACCCAATGACTACCGGTACTAACTTTCTTTGTAGGCAATGCAAGTGTGCATTTGTGAATTGAAAAAAATGATAGAGAACTTATCTTTTAATGGATTTCTGATTTTATTTTTATAAATAGTAGCATAACATTCAATTATTTGTACAAAATTGTATTCTTTAATCAGGTTTAAAGAGGAGTTTAATGAAAAAATTCCTAAAATACGTTTTAGACTGTAAATAAGCGCCCTCTAAGAATAAATATTTTTTTCAAAAATTTTTTTAAGATATTTCCTTTCACTTCAGCACTGGTTTTGCCATCTATGATTTGTATCTAAACCTTTTTCTAGTCTGTTTTCTTTATAAAACTGCGTCTGGGCGTGTTAAACCTCAGTTGTAAAACTTTTAGCCAATCCTAGTCGAAAGTGTCAATTTCAGTACCAATTATTCCAATTGCTGCATCTCCCATTTGACAAATCGTAGGATGATAAGGAAAGCACGTGACGAAACGTTGTTCTCTGGATTTTACAATATGAATGTGGGTGATGCTTATTATAGTAACTGCCATTTTATGTAGAGGATGTATTTAGTACTGGCCAATAGGGCTTTTCTGTAAGCGTTAGAAAAGTTACTTCTGGAAAAAACTGCATGGGAT